ACTGCAAAAAAAAAAAAAAAAAAAGTTTAAAACTGCTGTGAGCTACATTGCACTCTACCAAGGGTGACAAAGTGAGACTCTGTCTCAAAATAAAGAAATAAATAGATAGATAGATAGATAGATAAATAGATATAAAAACATACAACTTACTTTAAAGCAGAGTATATGTGTGTACATGTACACACACATTAGAATGCATTTGAGGTTAATTCTTTTACTATACCACACATTCTCACATGCAGAAAGGAATTTCTTCTAAGAACAAGCATATTTTGAACTGAAATGTACACTGAACAGTAAACAAATAAATGACAAGATGTTGGATTTAATCCCCAGTAGCCATTTGTCAGTTTTTAGCACCTGGAGTGATGTCTGCCCGGTCTGGGAAGCAAGCTGTGGTGTCCCGCAGTCCTCATGCACTCTGCCTGCCTATGGACATCCTGCTCCTCTAGCTGGAGCCCCCCCCCCCCAGTCCGTTTGCTCTGTGGGTGATAGGTAGTAACATCCATTCCCCAGGCTCCCAGCTGGGGATGCTAGGTCGCTGCTTCCCCAACAGCTCACCTCCTGGTCTGCCTGAACCCCAGAAAACGCCATGTCTCCAACCTAGTACCCACCTACCCACCCCTACCCCCCACAGCTCCTGGTCATGTGCACTGCTGTCCTATTGCCTGTTAAGCAGCCCAGGCCATCTTTGATTCCTGCACCCCCGCCCCATCCACCAGCCATCACTGCCCCTAAATACAGTCTCTACCGATTGGCCTGTGCCTACCACTGCCACCCTGGCCCACATCCCCAAGCCCTGACTCAGCTCCAACTGACGTACACTGTAGTTTGAGGAGTCTTGATTTTTGAAAATTATATTTCGAGTATAATACAAATTGTTTATGATGGTTCAAGGTCCAGCAGCTCACTCCAGCCTCACCCTGCTAGTTGCTCAGCCTGGTCTTCTCTGTACTCTGCCCCACTGTGTCTTGGGCTCACTGGGCCATTCCTTCAGGTGGATGAAAACCAAGGCTTGGTCCTCCAAGCCTTCACACATGCCAGTCCTTCTCCTTGAGATTCCCAGCCCTTTTCCTCACATCATATACCCCAAACCAAGACATAGTATATGTGGTAAATACCTAATGAATGGACAAATTAGGGGTTCACTTTTTATTCCCTCTTTTTTTTTTTTTTTTATTGAATGGTAACTGTGTACATTGATGCACTTTGGGGGTACAGTGTGGTGTTTTCATACATAATCCAAGACACTTCCATCAAACTGGTTAACATAGCCTTCATGTAACTTTCTTAGTTATTATGTCAAAACATTCATATTCTACTCATATAAAGATTCACTTGTACCCTTGCAAGATGAACCACAGAAGTGAACCCTCGAATCCCTCTCCCTCCCCCCTCTCCCCCCTCCCTCCCCCCTCCCCATAACATTAGGCTGTTATTAGGTTATAGCTTTCATATAAACCCTCTTTCTTTTGAGGTCTGGTTAAACTGAAGTCCCTTGATTGAGTGCTGCCTTTCCCTAACATTAACATTTTTAATTTCATATTTGTTCATTGCCTCTTACATTCAAATTGATTAGTAATTGGTATCTGTTTGTAGCTGTAAGATTTTAGATCACACTATTTAGGTTAATTTATCCTTTTTTTTTTTTTTGAGATAAAGTCTCATTATGTTGCCCTTGGTAGAGTGCCCAGGCATCACAGCTCACAGTAACCTCAAACTCTGGGGCTTAAGTGATTCTCTTGCCTCAGCCTCCCAAGCAGCTGGGACTACAGGTGCCCACCACAATGCCTGGCTATTTTTTGTTGCTGTTGTTGTAGTTGTCATTGTTGTTTGCAGACTCGGGCTGGGTTCAAACCCGCCAGCTCTGGTGTATGTGGTTGGCGCCCCAGCTGCTGAGCAACAAGCACCGAGCCAATTTATCCTACTTTTAATGTCTGACAATTAAAAACCAGACAAAACGGTGAAATTCTTTAATGAATCATTAACAATTTTTAGGACAGCCCCTAAGTGGTATCTGCATCCCTGCCTATGCTTGGCCAAGTTGGGGGTGGGGGGTGAGGACAGCTACTTAAGACCATCTGTAGATCTATCCTGTGTGTGTTCTTAAATCCTGTGATTTGTTCTTTTAAAAATGTTTTCTAGAGGCGGTGCCTGTGGCTCAAGGAGCAGGGCGCTGGCCCCATATACCAGAGGTGGCAGATTCAAACCCAGCTCTGGCCAAAAAAAAAAAAAAAAACTGCAAAAAAAAAAGTTTTCCAGAAAAGTAATTTATGCTTAATTGCAGAAAATTCAGAATTGAATTAACAACCAAATAATCTCAAAACCGAAGGGCCATGTTAACATCTTGTTTTGCTTTTTTCTTCCAGGCCTTTTTCTAGGTCTATGTGCTATAACAGACTACATTATTATCAAAACTGAAATCATACTACATACTGAATATAATACTTACCTTGCTATTATCAGTCAGCATCTTATCATTAGCATTTTGTCATTAAACATTCTTAGAAAACACTTAATAGAGGCTATCTTTGGTATGTACTATAGTGAACAATTTCTTTATTGTTGGAAAATTATTTCTAATTTTTTTTTTTTTTTACAGTTTTTGGCCAGGGCCAGGTTTGAACCCACCATGTCCAGTATACGGGGCCAGCGCCCTACACCTTTAAGCTACAGGCGCCGCCCTACTTCTAACTTTTTTTTTTTTTTGAGACAAAGCCTCAAGCTGTCCCCCTGGGTAGAGTGCCGTGGCATTGCAGCTCAGAGCAACCTCCAACTCCTGGGCTCAAGTAAGTCTCCTGCCTCAGGCTCCCAAGCAGCTGGGACCACAGGTGCCCGCCACAACGCCTAGCTATTTTTTGGTTGCAGCCTGCATTGTTGTTTGGCAGGCCCGGGCTGGATTCAAACCTGCCACCTTAGGTGTATGTGGCTGGTGACTTAGCCACTTGAGCCACAGGCACCGAGCCTATTTCTAACTTTTTATATCAAAAAAGGCTGTAATGAACATTCCTACATGCAAATCTTTGTACCTCCAATGATCTTCAAAAATGATAGATCCACTGACAAAGAGTTTGAATTTTTTTTCCATATTAAACACTAGTCACTATGAATAAAAAAGCACCAAAGTGATGGAAATGTTCAAAACTAGACTATGATAACAGTGTACAACTTGGTAAATTAGTAACAGACATGCCCATCAGTCTCACTCAAAGTATTCTCTAAACACAGAGTTCACTGTTTTCACCAGGATTCACGATGTATATATGTCACTACATACATATGAGCTTTGATAGATACCAGGCTAGGCTGGAGCTGCTTATCCTTTTTTTCTTTTTCTTTTTTTTTTTTTTGAGACAGAGCCTCAAGCTGTCCCCCTGGGTACAGTGCCATGGCTTCACTGCTCACAGCAACCTCCAACTCCTGGGCTCAAGCGAGTCTCCTGCCTCCGCCTCCCAAGTGCTGGGACCACAGATGCCCGCACAACGCCTAGCTATTTTTTGGTTGCAGCCATTATTGTTGTTTGGCAGGCCCGGGCTGGATTCAAACCCGCCACCTTAGGTGTATGTGGCTGGCGCCTTAGCTGCTTAAGCCACAGGCGCTGAGCCGGGGCTGCTTATCCTGAAGCAACTGTGCACCAGTCATTTACCAAGTATCTTCCACCCAAACCAAAGACAGCAGGGCATAGTCCCAGCTCCTGAGACACTCTCAGCACTCCTCTCAAATTCCCACAAACCCTTCTTTTGGGTAATTTTTATTTTTTTATTTTTAATTTTACCCTTCCTCTTGTCCTACCCTCTGTGAGTGATTTAAAAATGGAAAAGGTGGCTTGGCGCCTTAGCTCAGTGGCCAGGGCGCCAGCCACATAAACTAGAGCTGGTGGGTTCAAATCCAGCCCCAGCCTGCCAAACAACAATGAAAACTACAACTGGGCATTGTGGCGGGCGCCTGTAGTTCCAGCTACTTGGGAGGCTGAGGCAACAGAATTGCTTAAGCCCAAGAGCAAGTTTGAGGTTGCTGTGAACTGTGAACCCATGGCACTCTAACAAGGGTGACATAGTGAGATTCTGTCTCAAAAATAAATAAAAATAAATAAATAAATAAATAAAAATGGAAAAGGTCAAAGCCCACCCTCAGGTCTAGATTTAGAGGATTTTCTTTTCATTTGGGGGGGCAATACCCATAAACCTTTAGTGCAGCTGAAATAAGAGGCTTCCTGTCTCACAGTCCCTGGTCTTTACCATTGGCACTTCCTGCTCTAAGAAAGCCGGGAATCTCCTGCCACCACACCATGCCCACACAACCCAGAAAGTCTTCCCAGAACCCTCCTCCTTTGATTGTTTGTCCACACTTGGGCCTCTGACAGCCCCATGGCTTGGAAACACACTTCGCTGTGATTTTTGGCTGTTCTCCACTCCTAACATCAATTTCTCCAAGCAGAGCCAAGCATTCCTGTGAGGCTGTGTCTTGTTTAATTTTTACATAATCTTTTTGGAATTCAGAGCACTTTCGATACACGGGGGGCATTCAATAAATGCTTATTGCCCTTTCATTCATCAATTAAAGGATTTTAGAAAAGACTGACACTCGATGTGTTACTTGCATTAAAATGGCATCAACAACACACCTACCAAATGTGATTATTAAGCTCTTAAAAAGCAAGGGAACTACGTTGGTTTTACTCCTACCCCCATGGGATACAGCAGCTCTAAATACACAGACAAGACCTAATAAATAATGGCTGAACAAAATATATCAAGTCAAATGTAATTAAAGAATCTGCAGCACGCACAGATTCAAGAGTAACTTCTCCTTTATCATAATACCGTGCTTGGCATAGTCACATACTTACTGTTATTTAGCAGTCTCGGGCCAGCGCCTCTGTTTTTTAGGAGCTGACATCTACCCACTCATTCCCTGGATGAATCATTCAATCCCCGCAGGAATTATTTAAGGGGGCTGCACGGTTTAAACTTTGGACCTCCAGAAGCTCACTGTTTCTATCATAGTGCTGCCAATTACGAGGTCAGAATATATTTCCTGATTATTCACCAAACCACCACATTTTTGCACAAGTTCCTTTAAACCTAACTTTTCACAAAGAAACAAGCCGTTGGGCATACTGGAAACAAGAAACGCTGAGTTCTGCCATTTTCCCCACCCAGGAGAGGTTTCTTGATACGGGAGAGGTCGGGAGACCTCCCCGACTCTCCCTGTGCTGTCGCCCAGCCTGCGCCGCAGGGTAGAATCGAACGTCGGGGACATCCGCGAGGGGGCGGCGACACTAGCGCGAGGACCCCCACCCCGGCCCAAAGAAGCCGCCAGACCCACAGCAGCCAACCCCGCGAAGGACAACTGGGCAAATGCGAAGGCACCACCGTCACGCGAGGACCACAGAGACCCTCGACAAGGACGGTCCCGCTGCGGCTTGGCCAGCCACCCCACGGCGCCCACGCACCTGCTGGAGGATCCAGCCCGTGTCGGAGCCCCCCACGCCTAGATGCTTCCGGATTCCGGGCTCTCCCGGCTACTGGCGCTGACTTCTGGCGCGGCCGGGTAGGGCAGGGCTAGGGCCAGGGCGGCCGAAGCCCCGCCTTGCACCCGGCAGCCAAGCGTCCGTAGTGGGCACCACCTTCAGGCAGCGCCAGGAGTTAGGTCCCGCCAGGTGTGGAGCTGGACCGGGTCAGCGGGCTTTTCCTGTCCAGCATTCAAGGAGGATACGAGGCTGTGTTTCAGTTTCATTTTCAGGCCGAATTCGGGCAATGCGGATACCTCCAAGGTTCAAGTTTGGGAGAGGACGGAGGATGGTGCTGTTATTTAATTGAGAAATGGTGAGAATTCTGAGGCGGGGGGAAAAAGCGAATTTCAGGAGGGTTTGAGATTGAAGAAATATAAGAGTAAGATAATAAACTTAATTTGGGGCTTCTAAGTTTGAAGTTCGTTTGTGTTTGTAAGTAGAAGAAATTCTATCTATCTGTCATTCGAAAAATGTGGGGGCTGGAGATAATCGATCTGAGAATCAGTGAGTAGGATGTAATAGGAAAGAATCAGATACCCAGCCTGCTGAATAAAATGAGAATAGAAAGAATAAAGAGTGGACAGGGGGGTGGCGCTTGTGGCTCAGAGGAGCAGGGCGCCGGCCCCATACGCTGGAGGTGGTGGGTTCAAACCCAGCCCCTGCCAAAAACTGCAAAAAAAAAAAAAAGTGGACAGGGTATGGATTTACTTTACTCCTAGTCAAAGGTTTATAGCAAACAAACAAATGCTTAACAAGGAAATAGGCCACTGCCAGAAGATCCATTCCACAAGTAGGTAGAGATCTTCATGATACTTTAACTTACCCTAGCTCCACTGCCCTTGTACACTTTCATTCCTGATGTGGAGACCTGGTTCTGGAGGGAGCAGAGCAGATTTTATCCCTGGAAATGATGTTTGTTTGTTTGGACCTTTTAGGGACTCCCTGAAGGACCCATAGAGGGACTTGCCTTTTTTGTCCTAATTAACTCTATCAGGACAGAAAAGCAGCTATGTGGGGAATATGCCTCAAAACATACGCCTCAAAACATCCATAGTGGGCATGGTTGAGGCAGGAGGACTGCTTGCACCCAGGAGTTTGAGTTGACCCTGGGCAACCTAATGAGACCCTATCTCTTTATAAAAAGAATTGAGGCTTGGCGCCTGTGGCTCAAGTGGCTAAGGCGCCAGCCACATACACCCAAGGTGGAGCGTTCGAATCCAGCCCAGGCCCACCAAACAACAATGACGGCTGCTACCAAAAAATAGCCTGGTGTTGTGGCGGGCGCCTGTGGTCCCAGCTACTTGGGAGGCTGAGGCAGGAGACTCACTTGAGCCCAGGAGTTGGAGGT